GAACCATGATATTTGGTTTCTTCTTTGGAAAACCCACCTAGTAGCAGACTATTGATTTTATTTATTTCATTGTGAACTTTTAACTTGTAAAATACAATAGTATACTGTATTATATTTCTTTGGGCAGTTTGGAGGGATATTGTTATCTTTATACGTATAGCTTCTAAACTGTTGTATTCTGAGCACCTCGGGAAAAAAGCAGTGATAATGTGTGAGTGTAGTGAAAGTTTTGAATGATGATGAAAGTATTTTCTTTTTGGGGATTTTCTTTCTTTTTTGGGTCCCCTGCCTCGGGGGGAGACGACCAACTTGTTGAAAAAAAAAAAAAAAATCATGGCTGAAATCCATTTATGTTACACATACTTCCAACTTTCCTACTACAACTTTGTGATAATAAAGGAGGACTCCAACTTTCAAATGAGTTGTGCTTCTGGTTTTTCACTTTGAGTTGTTTGTGTAGAAAACAGTAGTTCAATAGATGGTTGCATTTCATGTTTGTACTGCAGGTTAGAGGTGGCAAAATATTAAATAGTTCTTAAATGCCCTATTTGTAAGTGCAGGGGTGTTACTAGGACATTCTGAGTTTGGGGACCTCTTGTACAGTATTATGTTCCCCTAATTTGTTACAGTACTTGTGTGTTAATGATTCTTTGCTGTATATTTCTTTCTACAGGTGAGAGTCAAGCCAGCAGTGTTTCTGTTAAAGAATCTAGATGAAGAAAGCATAGATTGGTCATGGATTCCTGTTGAAACTCCAGAAATAGTGATAGAAAGCACTAGCACAGGAGAAGAGCTGACGCAGGAAGAAAGTGTAGATAAACCTATCGAGGATGAAATCGCAAAGACATATTAGAGGAGAATAGTTTTAAGTCAGAAGAGAAAGTGACAGATAAAACAGAAAGTGAAGCAAGATAAGTGATGAAATGAATATGGAGAGTATAAATCAGCCACAGTTACAGGAGAGAAAGTAGAATATAACAGAGGTATTGTTGAAAACATGGAACCAGAAATAGTCACTGAAGAAACTGGTATGCTTTCAGAACCCACACTTCCAAATACTGCTGCTTTGCCCCTGAAGGGAAATTATTGATATTGAGGATGTTCATGCTCATGTAGATAAGCAAGATACCTCTAAATCTTGTACTAGGAAGAGATAATTGAAGCAGCAGAGGAGCCCTTGGAATGGTTGAAGATTTAGGAAGTGATGAAAAGATGACATTGCAGGAACTTGTACTCTTTGCAGTTCAGGTGGTAATGATCCTAATGATATTTCTGATGTCAACAAGTATTCTAAAGGTAACACTGAAGAGGTTCATAACGATCATGTAGATCAAGCTAGTATCAGTAATGAGGATCATAATATTGATAATGAAATGTAGGTTTGAGTAGTGATAAAGGCAAGGAAAATATTGATGTGAAGGATAAGACTGAAGGTAAAATAATTCAGTAGATAGCAATGGTAATGTTAATGATAATGCTGATGTTTTTGTTAATATTGATATACAGAGTGATGCCAGTGATGAAATATCTGACACTGTTCTTGAAACCAATCCAGAAATTCTTGATGACAAAGGTGAAGCTACTTTACCCCCTGAGGAGAGCACAGAAATTGGGAAGATTTAGACCAAGTTGATGATGTTGGTGACGAAGAGGAAGCTGAGCTTGTTGAAGTGACATTAACATTAGATGAAAATGATGCCAAGGGTAAAGCTGATGAAGTAAGTGCCAAAGAAATATTGCGTGAATCCCAGGTAACACCACTACCACCGAGAGCTGGTGACCAGAAACCAAGCATGCAGAGACATAAACTTTATAATCAGAATGGTTTGACATTCCAGTAGTGTGCTTTCTTGTTAGAGTGTTGTATTTAATTTTAATAGCACTTGGTTTGTGACCCTATGGGGGAGGGGGGGGGAATGAGTTTGTGTATATGCTTGTGTAGGGGACATGACTGAGTGAATGAAATTACCCCCATGTTTATCTAGAAGGGATGTGCTTTATCTTTTATCAGCTCATTTTAACTAGAAATATTAACATACTCACACCCCTCAATTTTATCATTGTTACTGTATTGACCATTAGCCAAGGGAGGGTGGCAAAAAAGAAAAAAAAAAAAAGGGAAAAACATTCACCATTTTTCATCATCCAAAATATTTACGTATTGCTATTATGTTTTTTAAATCTTTAGTTATCCGTTTATAGACAGTAGAGCATTTTGACTATGGGACCCAGTAATTTTTTTTTAATCATCAAATCCAATTCCTTTACAAAAGACAATAAAAACCGGTTTCAGATAAAAAAAATTTTCAATGTGTATGAAAGATATACTATATATACTGCTCCTAGAAATGCCTTTATTGTAATGCCATAGATTTATATTTTGTGATATAGAAAAAACTTTAGCACACTAATGATAAGTATGCAGAGATAGCTTGAAATATCTAATCTGAAATTTGGTTAGTATACTTTGCTGTTGGCTTTTTGGTGGCATGAACTTATGATGTAAGCTAATACATGTATAGAGAATATGAAACTGAGGATTACAGTTTTTAGCTGAATTATTCTGAAGAGTAGAGAAAATAATAGGAATCTGCTCTACAGCTTCAATTTTTCTGATTGATTTGTTCTAAAATCTGTAATTGTGATCTGCTACTTGGCACAGCATTCTTGAAATTTCAGTGCTGCATGATGAAAATGTTAGCATTTCACGAGAATTTTAGAAACTGCATTACTTATTTCATTTCCCAAAAGCCTCTTCTTTAAATTCACTTCCTGTACTGTTTTCTGTAACAATATTTATTGTTGATAGCACTAAGCATTATTATTCAAGTCTTGATTTGAACCCCACACTTTGCACACATTTTTTTTTTTTTTAACACACTGGCCGTCTCCCACCGAGGAGGATTACTATCCCTTTACTCTCGTCATTTTAGTTGCCTTTTACGACAGCATGGCCTACGGAGGAATGATTCTTCTCCACTTTCTCAGGGACTACACTAAATATATATTAATGATCACATTTACATAGCTATGTTGTTGGCTCATTTTGTTGCTCATTGTTCATTATTGAGGAGAGTATTACTGTTTTAAATGACCATAGGTTTTACAGTGAATAATGATAAGTGTTCTTTCATAGCCTTTGCAAATTGAGAAGAAAAATCGTCCTGTGGTAAATTTCCACTCTATTAAACCCTTTAAAAATAAAATCTTTATGTAATTATATGAAATGGTAGATTTTTTCAGATACTGCTTTAGATGAATTGACTAAAGAAAAAAAAGACATGTATAATCTAAATATACAGTGTCATATTCCTCATGAGTGGTGTACCTGGTGATATACTTGTGACCCATTTCAAGGGTTTTTCTATCTTACTAGCCCACCTCTGGCAAGCATCCTTGTCAAGTGACTGTTCAATCTGGGGTTGCTGTTAGTGGCCCACATAAGCATCATAGCTTGATTGATCTAAACACTTACAGAGGTATGTAACTCTTTTCCTCCCTAAGACTTCTACATTTGTTCCAGCAGTATTTTGATATCTGTTAATAGGCTGCCTAGTTGTGGACCATGGATTTGATAGTATGTTCTCTTTTTGTGCCCATGGTGCCCCTGCTTATGCTGGATTTATTTTACAGTTCTATCAGTCTTTCACCCCAGTATCTTATGGTAGTATGTTTTTGGGGCCTGGCCCTCCAACATCTTTTAGGTATATTTAATCGGGTATTTCTTTGCTCCAGAGTACTTTCCAAGAATTGGGTAAAGCTTTTCCATTGATCTTTATAAAGCCCTGACCAGCCAATTATATATCATGTCAGTTTTACAAGTGTTTTAGTTTCAACATTTTCCTCAGTATTAGTGACTTTTTATAAAATTTCACTTAATGCCAAAAAGCAGTACTGATCAAAAATCCAATGGCAATAGTTTCCCAAATAAATTAAAGAATAAAATACAATTAAATTTAAAACTTCATGTTTAGTTAATGTTTGCAAAGGATGACAAGTAAATCTAAGCTTATTTAACTATGTGCCAGAACTATACATTATTTTATTTTCAAGACAATTTTTTTCTTCATGTCATTATAAAGGTGAGAGCAAATGACCCAAAAGTTAAAACTTTGAATAAAGGTTACAATAATGGTACCATGTTACAACAATTTGCACCTAACCTGCAGTTTAGAGGAAACTTGAGATTATATTTCAATCCATCCTGGATCATTATTGGGGCATACAAGGACTTTATCTGAAGTTTTGTCTGCAAATTGTGGGTTAGTTGTGAACTGTGAACATTTAGATGGCTTGTCAACCCTCTTCCATTAATTATAGGGTTTAGAAATGTTGTGTACTATATCTGATAGTAGAGTTAAAAAATAATTCTGATAACTTTTACTAGAGATTAAAAAGGGTTTTAAGTGTATTTAGACAGTTGTTTTTGTTACAGTAAAATGGTGGCCCATGTGACACTTCATTAACATACGTTTCCCAAGTGATGAATTGTTTATGGAGAGTTGTAGTCCATTGATGTTTGGAGTGAAATGATTTCTTCCACTGAACAATAAGATGATCATTGTAAACACTGCTTTATTATTTTTCCTTTTCTTATCTTAACTAATACAATATAATGATTTTAAAAAATGCCAAAAATATGCCTAAAAGGGGCCCCTGTTTTCTACAGCTGTTATGTTCCCCCCAACGATGACGAAAATCATCCGGGTGGAAAAGTGTTTTTTCAAATAAAATGCTCTAAAACACCTGATAACGTTTTACACTATCATGTATTAATTAAATACAGTAGCCATAAAAAAAAGATACAACAGTTAGTAAACTTTAGTATATATCTTTTTGGGCCCACCCGCTTTGGGGGGAAAATACGACATCTAAAAAAAAAAATACAATATAAACAACATTCCTTTCCCCTTACACAACTGTTGTGTGAAAAGGGGGGGGAAAAGCAAAAAAGCACCAAAAAATGAACAGGGGTAAATTTGAAAACCACCAAAAACATGGAACACTGAAAAAGGGTGGTGTGTATGGGGGGGGCCCTCCTGACTGTATTTAATGTTTTCTTTAAGTTGTTTTTTTGGAAAAAAACACAATCAAACCATTAAATTCAATTTTTTTAATCAAGTGGGAAATTTAAAAATTTTCATTTAAAGCAATATTCCTCTTCAAGGGGGGCCCCTTGGGCGTGGTGAAGAGGCTTTTGGGTCTGGGGAAATTAGCCCGTGGGTCTCTTCCCAACCAAACCCTAATTACCCCCCTCTCCCCCCCCCATCCCACCCCCCATCCTCCCCTTTTCCTTCCCCCCTCCCCTCCTCCCCCTCCCTTTTGCCCTTCCTTTTTTAGCCTTCGGATTCCCCCAAGCGCGCTTTTTTGGTGGGGGAAAAGGACCCCGGGGGTCGACCCTTTCCGTTGGGTTTTCTTGGCGGGGCGTAGTTTGCCGGGGAAATTTGGGATTCCCTAGGATGTCCCGTCCCTCTCCGGCCCCCCGGAGTATTTTGGGTTTTTTTGGGCGACGGGGTATCTCTGGAAGCCCCTTTCGGATTCCGGGGTGGGGGCTGGGAGGTATGCTTTGGCGGATACCCGGCCCCCCTCTCTTTTGTCCCCGAGGTAGCTCGGCAGATTGAGGTTGCACCCGGTTGGGGTTTACGGGATAAAGGGTAGGGTATGGCAGGGGTTCCTGCCATCTGGCTACTAGGGGTGTCGAGTCCTCTTGGGGGCGGAGGGAGTTTTCCGGGCCCTTTTCTTTCCTCCTGGGAACTTTCCTCCCCGCCCCCCCCCTTTTTTATTTTTTTTTTTTGTTTTTATTTTCTTTTTTTCTTCTTTTTTTTTCTTAAAACAAAAAAAAAGGAGTAACCTAAACCAGGGCAGCCCTGTCCAGAAACCACTACCCCCGGGCCCCTTTTTTTGATACCGCCCCCCATTCGACCCTCCCTTGTGTTTAGACCACTCTTCGGACATCCTGATCCCCTTACCTTTTGCTGGCTGTTTCCCCTCACCCGCTCGGCCCCCGGGGTTTCGATGACTCCTTCGATTTGTCTGAACTCCGCTCTCCTTTGACTATGTTTCCCGGGCTTCCCCCTCTACGGTACGGAAATTTTTTCAACCCCCACCCTTTTCAGCCGACCAAACCCCCGGGTCCCCCTAAACCCAACGTAAATCCCTATGATGCTCCGTCGTTCCCTTTCCCATTCTCCGGAAACGACCGACCGCCCAAGCCTCCCTCCCCACGCTAAATTTTCGACCACACAATGGACAAAATTTTTTTTTTAAGACCAACTTCTTCTTCTGCCTATTTTCGACCAAGTATTGCCAAAGCGCCCCTGCGCATTTGGCAGAGAATTTTTTTTCACGCTCTAAAGGGCGGTAGGGCCATCGTACGTCCAGAATCTACCCAACTCATATCTTCTCCCCTTTTCAATATCGATATACTCCATCACTATAAAAAAACATCTTCTCCAATTCTTGTAGTGGTATTTCATTCTCCCCAAAAACCTAGTCCAACAGAATTTCCGTCAGGGGCAATGACTTTTTGACAGCGGAACTCCAGGTTTCCCCCAAATCCTCAAAGAGAACTTATCCTTCCTGCCCGGGGGGGGAGACTTTCCCCTTGCAATGTGGCTCTTTTAACTTTTGCAGCCGAAAACTCCCCCTTGTTTGTCGCGGACATGGGTACAATTTCGAAAGGGTGAACCTACAAAAACAATGTAAAAATTTTGGGGCC